CACCACTGAAGCCGCTATAAGCTCCTCCGTACTGGTAGTAGTAAACCCCCCCCAAGCTGGTGATGCCCGTGTAGCCCCCTGTGGAATTGTACGAGATAGAGCTGCAGGCCAAGATCAGCAAGTTCAGCAGAACCTCCAGCATCTGGCAGCAGGCTGCAAGAAAAGGGCGTTACTGTTTCGAGATGCTGGCTTTTCACTAGGGGGCTCTTTCAGCTCAAGGTCCATCCTTCCCAGGCAGCTCACGGTGCTTCCCTGTTCCGCCCACGGTGGGGCCCAGGCACCGTTAGTGTTAGGTGGCAGCAGGGACCCATGCTCTCTATCGACCGGAAAGCATGACGCTTTAAAAGCCAAGCAGGGATGGCTGTCAGCAAAGAGCTACCCTTGTAAGCATGAGGGCCCGAGACTGATCTCCAGCACCCATGTGAAATAACAGGCATGATGGCACATGATTGCAATCTCAGCACTTGGGAGGCAGAGGCCAGAAGGTCAGGAGTTCTTGGCCAGCCTTGACTACATAGTAAATTTGAGACTAGCTTGGACTACCCCCCAATGGATATACATTTTTTCCCTATCTCAGTAAATCTAAATATTAATTCCAAACATATATTTTATATCTCAGTAAACACAAATCTGCTTTATAGTGCTATTTTAAATGTCCTAAACATATTTTTGTATCTCAGTAAACCTTACAGATTTATTTGTAATGTTTATCCGATGGCCTGGAGCTGAGTTCCAGACATTTTTGAGGCACCTGGTGTGTTGCTGGGATCCAAGCTTTAGTCCTCATCACAGAGCAGCAAGTGCTGTTAACGCTGGAGCCACCTCTCCAGCCCTACTTCAGAATGTTAAAAAGATGCATAGAGATTACTGTGAGAGTTTAAGATGTTTTTGAAGCAGTTTCATCATGTAGCATAGGCTAGCATGGAACTCTTGATCCTTCTGCCTCAGCTCCTCAAGTGTTGGGATTGCAGGTGCCATTATTCCCAGCATCATAATGAATTTAATGACTTCAAAGGGACATTCAGATTTCTCCAGTGCATCGCTATGTGACAAAAAAATAAAAAAATAAAAAAATATATATATTTTGTAAGCCAGACAGTGGTGGCGCACACCTTTAATCCCAGTACTTGGGAGGCAGAGGCAGGTGGATCTCTGTGAGTTCTAGGCCAGCCTGGTCTATAGCTCGAGTTCCAGGACAGCCAGGGATACACAGAGAAACCCTGTCTCGAAAGACAGGAACAAAACAAAACAACAACAACAAAATTGTGGTACTAACGAGGGATGGAGACCCAGGGCCTTACATACACTTTAACCCCTGCTGGAGAAAATGTTCTGGTGGAACAAGGGAAGGGCCGGAGGCCTCACAGAGCTCCTCCTGCCTCTGTTAGGCTTAGTAGAACCACGAAGGACTAAGCAGGGCTGAGCAGATCAAGTGGCACCTTTAACAAAGGCTGGAGGCTTAGAGGCCTTCCTGATACCACATGAGCAGTTCAACCTCAGGCCAAGCCCCCAGACCCCCTTTTAAATTAACCATATTCGAATCAGCTGCACTTGAAATCCTGACATAATCTCAGTTTCAGCCAGTACTATAGTAAGGCACTGATTATTAAAAAGGAGCAATTGAGAATATAAATTAGAAAAAGACCCCTCAAAGTTTCTTTCGGGACCCCTTTCAGAGACCACAAGGTAAGCATCGGCAGAAAGCCGTGGTCCCTGTCCTTCTCTTGGTAGGGATGGTATGATGGTTGATGGTGACGGTCGACTTTGAACTGACACGAACCTGGGAGGTTAGGAGAGCAAGCTTCTGATGGTGTGTATGGAGTTTCCAGAGAGATTAAAAGCATAAGACCCCTCCCCCCCGTCCCCTTAATGTGGGCAGTGCCAACCAATAGGCTAGAGGCTCTGGTGGATCAACAAGGAAAAGAGCGATTACTGTTTCCGTCTCCTCCTCCTGTCTCTGCTCCCTGACCACACTTCCTGATCTCCCTGTCTTTATGGGTGGAACCCTCTTAGACTCTGACCCCTGATCTCCACTCCCTGAAGTTGTTTTGCTTATTTATTTATTTATTTATTTATTTATTTATTTATTTATTTATTTATTTCAAATCACAGCCACACTTCCTGTTGCATGCAGCAGTGGAGGAAGAAAGAAGGGAGGGAGGAGAACAGTTTTAACTGGGAGAAAAATGAAATTCTTGTTTTATCTTAGTTTCCGTTTTTGAGAAAGCATCTATGCAGTGCAGGCTCCTCTGAAGGGAGTGCCCCTCCCATCTCAAACTCCCAAGGCCTAGAATTTCAAGCGTGTCCTGCCAAGCCGACCTGTCTGTTTTGTTTAAGACAGTCCCTCTATGTTGCTTTGGTTGATCTAAATCATGGACTCAAATGATCCTCCCTCCTCAGCCTTCTAAGTAGCCTAGCTGGGACTGCAGCTGTGTGCCTCCATGCCTGACTGAAAAAAATTAAACTTTCAGAGATACTAGATAATAATGGCCAGAAGCTACAAACCACCGGGATTCAAGGACTAAGCTTCTAAAGCCAGGGAGTGAAGGACAAGAAGGGTGAGAAGGGAGAAGTGTTCCATATGCAAATGAGCTGAGATTCCCATTTTTTAAGCATGCAGCTAGCTCTACACCCACAGAGGACTGGGGTGGGGTCAAGGGAAGCCGTGTGCTAAGGAGTCACAAATACACCTGCTTTCCATCTGATCCCTAAAGACGTTTCTGATATCTTTCTGGCAAAAGAGAGGTTGGGGCTCATCTCTTTCTGTTGGTCTCGCTATCCCACTGAACTTTCCAGGGTGAACCACAGATCAGACTTCAGGGTGTCCCCAGAGGGCTATGGGGTGCCTGGTTTGCTGGAAGGGATGGGCGGGGAGGAATGACACGATTTCCCTGACAAAGAAAAAGCCACAAGGGACCCACTCTAACGTGCACTTTAAAAGCCATTAGGTGAATGGTATTCAGGCTCCTCTTCCCTGCTCTAGCCAGTCCTGCTGCAGACAGCTGCGTCTCTCCACACAGTGCCCCTCTGTGCACCTGTGTGGGAATGCTGAACACCACAGAACCATCTTCAAGCTCTCCAGTCCAGGACTTCCGTACCCAAACTGCCAGAATGAAAGCCAAATAGTCAGAAGCAATCAAAGCTAAATCTAGGTATGTTTTGGCCAGAAGCCCAGGTCCTGCCCTGCTCTTTTTTCTTGGTAAAGCAATCTAAGAAAGAAAGAAAGAAAGAAAGAAAGAAAGAAAGAAAGAAAGAAAGAAAGAAAGAAAGAAAGAAAGAAAGAAAGAAAGAAAGAAGGAAAGAAAGAAAGAAAGAAAGAAAGAAAGAGAAAGGGAAAGAGAGAGAGAAAGGAAAGGAGAGAGAGAAAGGAAAAGAAAGACAGACAGACAGACAGACAGAAAGAAAAGATAGACAAACCTCTAGAGAGAAACCTGTTAGCCAGCCCCAAGCTTGTTACAGTTGTTTACAGCATCAAGAGAATAAAGTTCCACAAGGAAATGCTTTGATGCCTTAGGCTGGGGCTCCAAGCCTTCCCTTAATGGCTGTGTGTGTGACCTGGGTAAACTGCTGTGCCTCTCTTAGCCCCAGGAGCTGTTAAGAAGATTAAAGGCGTTGCGGGCACTAGCTCACGTAAACCAGGTGACTTAGAGGACTTTCTTTAGGGTTCTTCCCTCATCATTATACTATGACACATCTTCAGCTGTGGATCCATTACCACCCCCCACCCCCCCAAGGCTGGGATGTTTCCTCTCTTACTCACGGGCAGCCTCAGCAGACTAACCACAAGCACCATGCACTATCGGGTTCACCCTGACAAACCAGATTTTCTTCCTCCCTGGCAGGGCCAGGGCCTGGGCTGAGATGAGAACCTGGGTGGCCAGCTTTTAGCTGGTGGCTAAAAGCAAAATCACTAAGCTGATTTTGTTGTGTTTAAGTTGAGGCAGAGTCTCCTATAGCTCAGGCTGGTCACTGAACTCCTGATCCCCCCACCCCGCCCCGGCAATTCCCACTGGCCATGCGCCACCGTGCCTGACTTTTATTTACTATTATTTTTAACTCTGGGATGTGTGTGGAAGTCAGAGAAAAATGTGGCGGAGTTGGTTTTCTCCTTTGAGACAGAGTTTCTCTGTGTAGACTTGGCTGTCCTGGACTCTCTTTGTAGACCAGGCTGGCCTCAAAGTCACAGAGAACCACCTGCTTCTGCCTCTCTGAGTGCTGGGATTACAGGAGTGTGCCACTATCGTGCCTGGCTGTTTTCTCCTTTTACTAAGTAAGTACCAAGGATTGAACTTGGGCTGTCAGGCTTGGGAGCAGTCACCTTTACCCCTTAGCCATCACACTGTTCCCTGACTTTTGTTTTTAATGAAGGAGAAAATATTAATGTACTTGGTGTGGGGAAGGATTAAGTACTTTTATGACATTTTTGTTTTTCTCTGTGTATGAATTGCTGGTCGAGAACGCACAGCAATCCTGCCTCAGCTGGGATTACAGGCCTATACGTCACCACACTAGGCTGTGGAGTTGGTCTTAATGTGAAATATATTCTTACTGTGCATCTCAGTCCATGAAGGTCAAAAGCCGGTGATGGTTGAGGCATCAGCTCTCTAAGGAGACCATTCGTTCCTGTCGGCTTGGTTTGAGGGGCAACTCTGTTATCTGCTGGAGTGATGTTCCCTCTATGGACTCAGCATGCCATGCCAGAGGGGCCTCTGTCCACCACAGGCAGCTCACAGCACACAGAAAGTAGCAAGACCCGCCAGTGGAAGTGTGGTTGACGCATGCTCACAGCCAAGCACATTGGATAAGCTTGGGGAACCTCAGGACAGAGTTCAGACCTTCCTGTATTTTTTTTTTTCCATGTAAGCATGAAAATAAGAATACAAACCCAAGAGGGAAATCGGGGCTTTCGATGCACCAGCTCGCACCCCTCCAATCCCCACCTTGCCTCACCTCAAGCCGTTTGCAATATAAATGGTCAGAGGGGGCGCCCCAAGGCTCACCTCTCCCCGTGCACAAGTATCTGCATTTGTGGCACTCTAGGAGCCCCTTGGCTTCAGACTGGTAATATTCCTCTTCCTGCCATGCGGGCCCCGAGTGTGTGGGCGCGTATCTTTCCGGAGGAAGCTCGCTGCAACCAAGAAGCACACAGACATTAGGGTGGGACTGAGATTCAACGGTTTATTTAGTGCTAAGACCTCATTTATCGTTTAGTTTTCAAAAATCCCACAGCAGGCAGCCCAGGCTTGTCTCAAAAATGTGACCCACCTCCCTCAGCTTCCCAAGTGCTAGGTCACCGGTGTGTGCTATCACACTCATTGGTGTTAGAACTCTCAACTTAATAATGGGCTTGGCCTTGAACCCATGTTCCTCTTGTACCTCCACCTTCCAAGTGCTAGGGTTATAGCCTCGTACCACCATATCCAGCAGGTTACTCTTGAGATCTTTCCGTCATCTCTCCCTTGCTACCCACCCTGGCACCTTCTGTTTCCTTCTTTTTCTTCCATTTGTCTAACATATGCTGGGCCCTGCCCAAGATTCAACAGGAGGAAGCCATCTCATCTCTGGTTTGAAATGTTGAAGCCTTTCATCATTGCACGGGAGTCTCTTGTACCGTGCACACTTACAACCTGGGCTCACTAAGCCAGCAGCACCCTAAAGATGACCCAGGCCTCTGGGGCACCGAAGAAACTGCTTTTCTGCTTGAAATGTCTTCTATCTTCCTTTTCTGTCTTCTTCCCACAGAACTAAGCAGGGTCACCTTCTGAGACCCTGTTGGTGCTTGCTTACACAGGAGCCTAGCTTCTTTCTTTCCAAATCCCAGTTTTTCCCAAGGGGGCTGATTTCACACTGGGCTGCAGCTGGCGGGTTTTCGATGCCATTCTCCTGCCCCAGTCTCTGAACCCTGCCAGTAAACTACTGCGTGCCAGGCCCTGTATCCCCTCCTTCCAATAAATCCTGAATTGGAGAGCAGACAGAGAGGAGCTGCCCTTTGGCCTCAAACCTCTAAGCAATGAGCAAATGCATTTCTTTTATTCACTTTGGGGTGAGGTGGAGTAACCAGGGTTCTGGTTTAAAAGGAAACCTACAAATGCACGTTTTCCCCCCTGTGGCTGCAGTTCAGGATGGATGCAGTAAGGGAAAGGAGCTGGTGTCAAAGATCAAAAGAGCAGACTGAATCTGGGGGCAGTTTTTGAAGCGCTAGTTGGTTTTAGATAATGTAAACTCATGAGAGCAGCTTCCCCTGGGATGCGGGCGCAGCCTCCGGGTCCAACAGCGGTCAGAGGTCAGCAGCAAGACACACATACACAGACACACACACACACAGACACACACACACACACACACACACAGACACACACACAGACACACACACACACACACCAGGACCCATTTCTTCGTTTTGGCCAGCAGGGACACCTCTTTTATTCCATTTTCCTCACTCTGCAGAGCCCAGTTCAACATACGCGGACTTGGACCGCAAGCTGCCTCTCCAGCGGGGGTGTGGCGACCAGGCCACCCTTAGTCCTCCTTTCCATCCCCATTCACCAAACCTTCCAGGGCACGGGTGCTAAGGGGGTTCGGGTCCTACGGTGAGGTTCGTTCATTCAGGAGGGTGGGGTTCATACAAGCATACAAGAGTCCAAAGAAGTCTCCTAGAAAGCCCCCCCCCGACAAAGGTGGTGGGCTTAGTTCCTTGTTAACAAGTGCAGCAGCTTCTGCCAGCGGCCTGCTGGGCATATGGCCTTGGCAGGCGGAGTCCAGCTGTTAACTCGGGCTAACTTTATTCAGGCCCGGACACCTGGGAGGGCTCACTTGGGAACACGACCTAAGGGTCCTCGGACTCGGCGTAATCACGCCACACTTGAGTGGAGCCTTCCGCCGGCCCCACCCACCGGGCAACCTAAACCATTCCGCCCTCGGCCCTGAAACTCTCCTCCTCCCCCTCGTTCCGGGGCTTTCCGTTTCTCCTTCGGTAGTCAAGTTCAAACTCAGGGTGGGGGACGTCGACCGTCACCCCCGAGCGCCGGCTCGGACCGGGAGCCGAGGAGGCGCGGTCCGGGTCCCCAGCAGGTGCACCCCTCACCTCTCCAGCCCGCGGCGCCCGAGGCCCTGCTTCCGCGGCGGTTCCGGGGCCCCCCACGGTGCGGGCCCCGGGGTCGGGGCTGAGTCCCAGCTGGGCACCCAGGGCTCGGGCCGCCCACGGCTTTGGCCGGACTTGTCCCGGGCTCTCTGTTCAGCCGCGCGATGGCCCGCGTCCGCGTGTCTGTCCCGGCGCGGGTCTCGGTCCGTCCTCCGGTCCCCGTCTCCTCTCCCGTCACCGCTCCTCTCCCTGGGCCTGTCCCCACCTCGGTCCCGCGGCCGCTCGACGTGGCGGTCTCGGTCGGGGTGCGAGCTCCGCTCCCGGTCTCTCTCTCTCGGACGGGGCCGGGACTCGCGAGCCCCCGAAGTACCCTCCATGGCCCGGTTCCTGTCCCCGCCCGGAAACGACCCGAGGGCAACAACCAACCACAAGTTCCCCGGGCAGGTGGCTAACCTCAGGGACCGGGTGGCGGCAGCTCACCTGCGCGCACGCGCACTTGCCTTCGAGCGGTTCCGAGAGGTCGCACCTGCCCCCAGCCGCCAGGGGGCGGTCGTGGCACCAGCAGAAGGATCGGGGTTGGGGGTAGGGGGTGGGAGGCGGGTTCTTGCCCAAAGTGCTGTCAGTTCTAGGTGTTACGGTATTAACAAAGGTAAGTGGCCCCCCGAGACGAGCCAAATCAGTTCAACCCTCAAACACTGTCTCTTACGTTAAGACGTCAGGGTGCCAGACCTGTCATTTACAGGTTTACTTTCCTGTACTGGGTTTTAATCCCTGGACCTTGCGTGTCTAGGTGAGTGTGCGTCCGCTGAGCTATATCCCCAGGCCCAGACTAAGATCAGTAAACCCACTAAGACAGTTCCGTGCCCCTGGGCATGGATTTGTGCCTTCTGATGGAGAGCTCAACCCCGGGAGGAGTTGGTAACCTTGCTGCTCTAAACTTGGGTAGGGGTGACGCCACCCCCCCCACCCCGGCTGCTGTGACGTATTACCCCAAATGAAGCCAGCAGTGGTGATTTCCTGTCGATCAACTTACAAAGCTTCCTAGGCTTGCTTCCCCAGAGAGTACCCATCTATTCAATTCTCCATCTTTCTTCTCAGCCATCCACCTACCCATCCATCCACATACATCCACACATCCATCTATCCAGCCATCCGGCCTCTCATCCACTGTTCCTCTCCCTTCTCAAAGAAGCCATGTTGCCAGCTCATCTGTTAGAGTAGCATCGAATTTGTAAAACACTTAAAAAGAAAAAAGAAGAGCAGAAAAGAAAGAAGAACTATTCTAGTCATAATTGTCAGCCTTTAGTTTTGCCAAGTAAGGGCATTTTAAAAATCCAGAAAAAGGGACGGGGTGTGGTGGTCCACACCTTGGATCCCCGAACTTGGGAGGCAGAGGCAGGTGGATCTCTGTGAGGTTCGAGGCCAACCTGCTCTACAAAGTGAGTCCAGAACAGCCAGGGCTACGTTTAGAAACCCCGTCTCGAAAAGCTAACGAAACAAAACAAAACAAAAAAAAAATAAGCAAAACCAAACAAATAAAAACAAAACCCAAAAGAAAGCAAGCAGAAAACTGGCCTGGTAGAGCTGTCGGCAAGCATGCAGGAGGACCTGACTCGGCAGGTGCAGGGGCTGTCCCAGGGAAGTCCCCTTGGACAGAGATAGGACTCCAGTGTGTGCAGAGACTGGACAAGAACATGGAAAGGCAGTGCTAGAAAATTAATAGGAGGGCTCTGCTCTGTGTAAACTGAGGCACCAGTGACTCAGGAAGTAATTTTTCAATCGTGTTTTGAGGGTGATGGGGTTCTGAGGACGTGCCTGCTTGGAGACCCACTCTGACTCCTGTCTCCAGGATGTGAGTCTGGCGGGGAGGAGATTCATATCCCTCGTCTCTCCAGCATCTTCCCACAGCTGTGAGTCCGGTGATATCCCCTGTGTCTCCAGCCCTCACCATGGTGCCTGGGACTGAACACATGCTCCAGCCGGGCAGAGAGATGTCCCCTGGGGTGGGTTCTAAGAAACTGTCATGGCAGCAGGCAGAGTCCTTCCTGAGCTTTAAGTATAGGGCCATCTTGGCATTTCAGTTCTTATGGCAGCTGGAAGGATGAGCCCTCTGGGGTTTCCATCTAGGAAGAATGGGTGTTGGGGGCAGCCGGCAGTCTTTGTGATTCCCCAAAGAGTCGTAACTGTCTCTGGCTCATCCGGGCAGCCTCTCTGGTTTGAGAATGTTATGAACTGGACTCCTGGCCACTTCTGCAGAGGCTCCCAAGTTCTACCAATGTCACCTTGAGGCTACAAGATGCAGAGTGGAGCCTCACAAGCTCTGGCTGACCACCCTTCCTCACCCCTGCAGCCATCCAAAGCTCTAACACCATCATGCAGAACATTAATCTCTGAAATCCCCTTTTCTCCTGTTGCAGCCATTTTAAAATCTATTTTATTTTATTGGTGTTCCTTTCTCCCTTCTCCATTCCAATCCCTTCCAACACTCCAACACCAGGTAGGAGACAGAACAGGTTAATGAGGAGTTGGGGCGTAGTTCTCTTTGGCTACTTCCTGCTGGTTAGAGTCGTTGGGTTCCTAGGGGCAAGTTCAATCTTTGTTTCAGGCTATCTCCAAATACTTCTCAAACTGCATCAACAGCAACCAGGAGCAGCAGGGGGCAGCACCAGCAGCCTCCTTCTCTGGAGCTCTCTGTCTCTCTCCTGGCTCTTTTTTCCCTTTGGCATTTATATCCCTCTCCAGAGTCTGAGTATGTAAAGACACTGAAACATTCCCCACACCAGCCCCTGACTCAAGAGTTTAAAACCTGAGCCTCATATCACCAGTTGAGCACACATGTAATTCCAGCTCGTGGTCTCTGTTAGTTACACATTGGGAGGGGTCAGAGTGGGCTATACTTCATGCTTTTCAAGGTGATGGGGTTCTGAGGAAGTGCTTGCTTGGAGACCCGCTCTGTCTCCCCACAGGTGTGACATCCCCTGTCTCTTCAGCCCTCACCATGGTAGGTAAAAGTGAAAAACTTTTCACTGGGTGCTGGTGGCACACGCCTTTAGTCCCAGCATTCAGAGAGGCAGAGGCAGGTGGATCAATGTGAGTTTGAGGCCAGCCTGGTCTACAAAGAGTCCAGGACTTCGAAGGCTACACAGAGAAACCCTATCATGAAAAAAACCAAAAACAAACAAGCAAAAAAAAAAAAAAAAAAAGTAAAACAAACAACTTCCACCCTAGTGTGTGGAAGTTGTCATGAATTGTCAGCCACACAGGCAAAGAAGCAACAGAGTCGAGAGTGAGGGACCAGTATACACCGAAGGGGTTTCCTCACTTTTAGTTTATGATACTTTATTGTGGAAGGGAAGGTGATGACCCAATGTGCCATCTCCTTTGTCTTGATTAAAATTATAGCCCCGGGGCTGGAGAGGTGACCCCGGGGTTGAGAGCGCTGGCTGGTTTTCCAGAGGATCCAGGTTCAACTCCTGTACTGGTATGTAGCCCTTTGACTCCAGTCCCAGGGGATTTGACACCTCTGTGGGCACCAGGCACTCACGTGGCCACGTGGCACACAAACATACGTGCAGGCAACACACACACACACACACACACACACACACACACACACACACACACGAAGAATGGAATAGAATATATAGCACCTCTGGTTATTCCTCGGTTTTCCAGGAGCTTCTGGTCAGACGTTAGGTGAAGGGTGGCAGGTCTGGCACAGGTGGGAATTCTTTTCTGAAAAAATTCTCTGAGGAGACACAGAGCTTAAGAGAAAAGAGAAAGGACTCGCCATTGGGATGTTCAAGATGATTTTTTTTTTTTAAAGAAAGAAAAAAAGAACTTCTGCTCACAATTTTATTTAATTCAGTAGTCAGTTAGGGAACTTGGCACATGTAACAACAAGCCCTAAAAAACTGTGAACCCCAATTGTAGTGATGCACACCTCTAACCCTAGCTCATGGCTAGCCTGGTCTAAATATCAAGTTCCAGGCCAGCCAAAGCTACACACTGACAATTTTTTTTAAAAGACTAGGCAGAATAGGCTCATTTCTAGGCCATTGGGGATAATGAAATAAAGTGAACACATAAATGTTTTTCCCCAAAAGGGAAAAAAATAATTTTTAAAAGCCACATGTAATTACGTGTCTATAGACAAGACCATTTTTTTTTTTTGCTTTGTTTTGCATTGCTATCAGTTACCTACAATTTACTGAGTTGTTAAAAGAGCTCAAAGTCAGTATAAAGATACACTTCATGCAACCACAGGTTGTCCACTGCCTGGCACTTTTTCTCACTGAAGCCTGAGTGGGAAGGCCTGGCTTCTGCCAGGAAAGCAGAGTATTCAGTACTCTAAGCTGCTGGGCCAGGGGGCTTGTCTCTGAGGCTAGTTCTGAGAAGTGTCTCCTGGTGGCTCTGAGTTAACTTTTGGGTAAGGCCTAGATATCTGCATTTTTAACTTAAAGATATTTTTTTATTTGTGTGTGTGCTCGCACACACACACACACACACACACACACACACAGTCACACGCATGTATTTTCGTGTGTACCTGTACCAAGGTATGAAGATGTGGAAGACAATGGTCAATGTTGGAATGTCTTCCTCTATGCTCTCCATCTGATTCTTTCTTTGTTTTTTGACAAAAGGTTTCTCTACCTAGCCCTGGCTGTCCTGGAACGCCATATGTAGACCCAGGTGGTCTCAAACTCACGGAGATTGACCTGCCTCTGTCTCCTGGTTCGGGGGTCAAAGGTGTGAACCACCATGGCCAGTTCCATCTGAAGTTCTCTTCACCATGTCCAGAAGGGGGAATCAGACATGTTCATATACATAGAACACGCAAATAATTATAAAAAAAGAACCAGTGTTCAAGATATGTGTCAGGGTCCATTTTATGTTGCTATGACAAAATACCCAAAGCTTGGAACCTCACGAAGAAGACAGAATCGTTTAAATCACAGTTCTGAAGGTTTAAGAGTGTAGTGCTGGCATCTGCCCAGTGAAGCATGAAACAGAAGGGATGGGAGAGGGAAGACAGGCATGCTCTTTCCACAGCGGCCTGCTGGAGTGGGGACTAATCCATCTCCGTGAGACCTCCACGTTGGGGGCTGGTCTGTTGTTCTGTGTATTCAGATGCTGGATTCTGTGCCCTGAGAGCTGGTTGCACTCTGAACACGGGCATTGTCCTGTACTTTGATTAATGTTGTGTAAACTTTCTCCAATTATCTCTGATTGGTTAATAAAAAAGCTGGACAGCCAATGACTGGGCAGTGGAGACAGGTAGCAAGAGCTTCCGTTCCCAGTCTTGGGGTCTCAGGTAGGGGCGATGAGGGAGAAAAGGGGAAAGAAGGAGAGGCAGGAGAGGAAGAGGTGGAGATTAAGAACAAGCCCAGGCAGGACCAGCGGGGCAAGTAACTCAGTGCGTGTGGCTGAGGAATAGCAAGACCAGCATAGAAGGTTAGCATAC